TAAATAAAACAAATATAGTAAGAAAAACTATCAAATGATAACAAAATAACAGAAGCGTCAAGGCAGGAATGACATCTGAACATCAAATACTTTGACTTTGACAAATGATTAAAGTGACGTAATAGGTTAATAAACACTTCCTTTTAATTTCCTTTCCGTTTATTGCTACTGGATGGTGATATCTCTGGGATATAGATGTCATTCTAGTTTATATCAATGTTTAGTTGCTATGCGAAACATGAAGGGTCACAATTTTATGCGCATACTTAGTACAGAGGAAAAAAATTAAATCGTCGATCGGATGCTTTAAACTCGCTAAATGATTGTTTACATGGAAAACTTCAGCGTTCAGATGATGATGTTAATTATATTTTGTTTCCAGATAGTAACCTAATTACTAAATATATTTCTCTTTAATTAACGGAATTGTGAATGATAGTGAATTTTTATTAATGTTTCATGAAACTGACTAGTTCTGTGATTAGCAACTTCTATAACTATGCTGTTATCAATCTACTACTATGTTTATTGATAGATATCAGAGTAATGAATACATAATATTGATACTACAATCAATATGAAAACTAATGATGAATTACTAAGTAGTATAAGTAGATAATATGACGGTAAAAACGTATACTGATGGTCGAATCCGCTTGAAGCCAATATGATCTAAACATAATTAGAGTACAGAAGTTTTATGATTGCTGTCTAGTTTGATCAATTGGTTTACCTATATTCCCAGTAGTACTGGCGGGTGACCTTCAAAATACTCAATGATACAGCAATCACTGAACAACGCTCAAGATCTTAATGAATACTGGTCCTCGAGCTCCTCTTCTGACTCAGTAGCCAATCAGAAGACAATAATAAGAAGCAGGTCAGTTCTAGATTGTACTTAATTCAATCATCAAAAATCACATAATAATATTACTTGGAATGTATGACCACACAACGATACAATCATGAAATCTCAATGTGTACATCCTTAGTGATACAAAACTAGAGTATTGCGAAAAATCATTAATTAATGACAAATTTGGAACGATTAAGCGTATAACGACTAATAAGCCAAATAAAGGCTTAGAAATAGATAAGTATCAAAACACAATAATACAAGTAACAAATTACTACAAAATATCCATTAAATCAAACGGTTTATAGAAGAAGAGGACCTTGATGACCAACATACATTAAAGTTTTCAGTTTTATATATATATATATATATATATATATATATATATATATATATATCGAAAAACCGATGAATACAATACGAAACGAACCTTCGGAACATTTAATGGAGGCAGTAAATTTTGAAACATATCTACGACTAATCGTAGATGTGGCAATGGAGCGGATGTATTCGCGCTCGTACCGCCCATACCAAATCCAGTCATTACTAACAAAGGCGGTGAACTATACTGACGACTATCGAAAACTCGACGAACCAAAGTTTGTATATCACGTTTCAAGCTATACTCAGCAACACGAAAAGTAAGACTAGGTCCATGCGGAACACGAATCATGTGTAGATAAACACCACCGTGGTTACTACAACTTTTATTGGTTACTCCTTGAATCTCAGTGGTATCTGATTGAGAGAAAAAAAGTGGCAGCATAATACATTAAGGTCACAGAAATAGAGGTCATAACGATAAGTCAACTGAATAAGAAGGGAAATTAAACTTATGGTTAATCACTTCAATTGCTCTGGAAACTGTAATGCTTTAAGAAATCCAATGTAAATACCACTTTTGCGTTAGTACACAGTCTACAACACACCGGGCAATAAAATAAAAATCTGAGGACTATATAACCTCTGATGAACACGAACCTATTTACTGATATTCATATTTCGTGCTGATTCACGAAAATAGCCCAGATCGATGCATGTAAATATACGGCGAATTATTTGCATTATATAAGTTACCATCGGAACTGTCAGTTTTATCATAACAAGTTAAGTGCATAACGCTGATGTTTAAAGAGATCTTAAGTTAGACATCTGAAACCTAATTACATTTTCTGTTAGGCATCTCGTCTGATTCAACTCATTTTTTGTGTATTGCTTTATACTACTTGTTAATGTTCAGTAACCAGTTTCATAGCGTAATATACCACAGTATTTACACAAACCACAAACATTCAATATATCGTTTTGTGTAATTACATCCCAATTTTTGTAACAGTTAATTACAGTTCTGTATATTTGCTGAATATTCGCTTAGATGAAACAGCTCTCATATTTGTGTACTTTTAGTCCCCATTTTGATTGTTGATAAATGGTTGTTAACATTAGAAGAAGCCATCAGCAATCATTTCCGCTATCATGTGTTGTACCTACTTATGTGTTATCATTACAGGAAACCTTTCTCTTACCAGATATACACATGCGTTATTTGCTAAAGGATGAGATTTGTAGTCAATTTCTAAATATATTCCTAAATAACAAAACCGTTCTTTATAAAAATCACTGTTTGTAGATCTCAGTTACGCATGTATCTCGATTGTGTAGTTAAGCGCTGCGATAGATTTAGAACTTGGATTCTCATTAGAAATGAGGAGATATATTATAGTGTCTGTGAAAACGGCCTGTCTCTTTGAAATCACGACTTCGAAAATTCAATCATTGGCTGATAGTCGAATAACGGAACTTATATACCTTACCGAAATCAACTATGGAGTCTACATGAATAGATAAGCTTTGAAATGTAAATCAATTAACCCAGCAAGCTAGAATAAAATAACATACATCAACACTAACGTAGCATGAACATTCGATAAACGAAAAAGCAATTTCAATGAAATAAATTATCAAACAAAATGGGAAACCACGAACTTTGTTCAATTGAAGAACTGTCATTTTCTAACCGTTTTGCAGAAGCTTTAGCTAAACGACGGGCACGCTTCTGTTCACGTTTCTCATCATTAGGGTGTGTGAAATATAACAAATGTGTTACGTTCAGTGGACCAGCGATAGTAATGAAATCTTTCAGTACATTCTGACGGGTCACACGTAAACGGCTAGCTGTAAAGGGTTCGAAAATCTCTCTAACATCGAGAGATAATTGTTTCACTAAACTCCCAACACTAGGACGTGAGAAAACCATGGTATGTGGGGTTTTGGTGTAACGTTTTTCCTCCAATGCAAGCGCTGCATTTCGTGCATTCCGTACCGACTTTGGACGTTTCTTATGTACCATTATACACAAGAATATACTGAAATAAACGATAAAATACTTCATAAAATATACTGAACAGTCATATATATAAAACGAAAATTTATAAATGACAAAAATAATCAGTTATATGTAAAACACACCAAAGTAGATTACCGTGAGTGTCAAAACGATTTTACATTAGAGACTAACATCTTTAATATGTGTAGTCAAACGGATTATCTACTTCAGAAATGATATAAACAGAAGATTAAGATTCCATTTTTATGATTTTTGTATAAAAATACTGGGCACTAATTTTCTTAGTTTTCCATAAAAAGTGATGACTAATATATATTACAACTCATGTTACGATATACAAACTCATGTATTAGATTTTCAATCACGTCGTTTATTTGAAACGGTAGTTAGACGATCCCGCTGTCCATATCGAAGTAATCATGCTTGAGATGGAAACTATACCCTACCAGTTACATACCAGATAGTTGAATCATTTTAGGTAAGCTACTGTTTTATACACAGGAGAGAGTTACTTTAGAAGATAGCCAAGTCCCTGAATAATGGTAACCTTAATGTCATGCTGTTCGACGAGGAGATTCAGATCAAATATCACCAATATATTTAGCAAAGAGATGACCCAGCTACATGATTGATTTGACAAAGTAATGTACCACTGGGTTTTAATGTTATGGAGATATGAAGTAAGTAATATATCCAGTTCCTATACCCCAATATAGATTTGTGTTCGATATGATCTCAAGTGTTATTAAGGGAATGAAGATGATTTTTAATTCTCAAAGGTTCACGCTGTCAGAAAAAACCTTTAGAGGAATCCGGAAATTGGATTAGAGATGAGTTTAACGGTCTGATGAAGTACTCAAAGGACAATCATTTTAGAATGATCACACAGCATTTCTGTGAACAGTTCTAGATGAGTTAGCTCTGTATTTCAAGGCTTTAACGTCCGACGCGGGAACCCATGAGGCAGAGCGAAGTACGCAATATTTAGGATGGACTTCTTATATATGGAGAAGATCCCTGCTGTCCATGGGCCCATATGCAGCCTAATTAAACGTATGAAATATGCGTATATTCTCAGGCATAAACTACGCCTAGATACATTTTGATATTACTGAAGCATAGATTACAAAACAGATTCAATCAAGCATTGTACAAAACAAACAAACAAACAAAAAATGATGAAATGAAAAACAACATGTATATATTTATATCTTATATGATGATCAGCTTTTTACCCGGTTATTTTAACAATATAAACAGTACTAAAATACTAAAGAATAATTTGAATAGTCAAAGGAACAAGAAGAAATAGATTTGTTCAAAAATTAAACAATAGAGTGTTTTAAAATAGAAAAGAAAAGAATTTTTGCAAATCAATTTAAAGCTAAGTAACTCAAACATACTAACTCACTTTTCAAACTCCCAAATCTACTAATCATCGTACTTATTATACACAGTAAAACAATTGGATGAACATAAAAGTATAAACTCATATAAATACACATACAAACAAACATACAGACATATCTAAGACTAATCAAAGATTGTTACCAACACCATTCAGATGACTGTGAACATACGAGGAGTAATAACTCACATATGAGAGTGGACAAATAGGTGTAAAAATGAACCATGAAACAAACAAAATAATTTATGAAAATAATTCATATTAGATATGATCCGAAAAACGAAAGACTGTATTGTTCATGTGTATTTGTTTGTGAAAAGAATACCAAACGAGTGATCGGTAAGTTTATGACAAGTTTTTTTCCTCCTTGGATTATCATTTTTTTCATACTACACAGAATGAGCCAATTCCATATGAGTCGATAGATCACTTCGTAGACAAACCTGTTGACAAAGAAACAATAGCAAATTGGAAAATACTACGATTAATACAATGTTTTAGAAGATTATTGAATGGTATAGTTAATATCTGGGGCAGTATTTAGTTAGATAACTGTTTTGTAACCCAGGGACTACTGGATAATCAAAACATTGATCACAAGATCCTAGTGAAAAGAAAAAAACTTAGCAATAAAATAGACGATCAATCGATTCTTCATCAAATGGTACATTTATAACACAGTTTTAATTAATAAACATTAGTCATCTGAATCGTCATTATTCTAGACCTCAATCAAATATCTAGTAACTTAATCAAGATGAAACTCTGTTAGTTGGATAATTAAGAAACATTATCGTTAGATCGCCTCCGGTGTAGGAGGTTGGAAAGACCTAGAAGGCTGCTAAACCAGGACGTGATAGCCATTCATGAAATTATTGACGGTTGGACTAAAGTGCATAGTTTGCGTTTATACATTATTGTAACCAACAGTTGGAGACACTGAGTGACATGGCTCAGAATCGGTCAAAATAGTGAAGATACATTCACTATTTTAAAACTCATAGATTCTGTTCCACAACCTAACATTTCATTCTCGAATCATATTATCGTCTGTCGATCTGTTCTAATACTAATGACATCAATATTATTGGCATTATTACATCTCAGTGGTCCAGGACTCGTAGCGACACCTGAAGGTCATGAGTTTGATGACTTGTGAATTCTTAAGTTCAAAGTACTGAGTTCTTTACCAGGGTGTAAAAGTTGTATAATGTTTCTTGGTTTACAATAGAACTCCAGGTGAGGTTAGTTTGTGATGAATACAAATCACAAAATTATCCTGTTGATATTTTAAACTATTAAATTAAATAAATATCATCAATTAAGATTTTCCGTAAGGCAGCAAATGTTAAACATTAACTGTTTAAAAAAGAATCATGAAAACCAACTTACTTGACCACATTCCTGGCATGTTTGAATTGTTTTTAGGACTTTCTTTGACCATGGAGGAAGAGCTAATATAGGGTTTTTGTTGCGCTTCAATTGATGACCACTTTTTAACAAAGCTTCTTGCATATCAACTGGAATACGTGGAGATCCTTGTGCTTGCAGAGCACGAAGTAAGGCACGTTGAAGCCCTATATCAGGCAATAAGGAAATCATCGGACCTATCCAGTATGGAATATCTAAAAAAAGAGTAATACTCTAGGATTATATAATAAAACACAATGATATAGAGCACATGCAAATATAAGTGATGAAGAGGAGTCAGCTATGATAGTAATTGTTTGTAGTCGACAGTAGCAGCTACTGCTGTTGACTGACGGAAGCTCGTCCAACTCATCCGCATCACTGGTAGCCACAAGTCTGGTATGAGTGAAACAATATGTGAAGTTAATCGGATGCCAATCAACAACATCTACCAACGTCTTGGACAATAGGCAGTTTATCGAGGAACAGTTCAAAAGGTCTGCTGCCTTGGAGATGGCGAACTGACTGTCCTGCCCTCCATGGCCGGTGACAACTGATCCACCTAACAAGGTGGAAGTCCGCAAGAAACTCCAACTCATTAGCACGCTCCGACTACAAGGTTTCTCGGTCTTTAGCAAGCTTTTCACAATTTCATTACGTAAAAATCTTCGTTTATGGTCATACTTACACATCGACGTAACTAAACGAGTTGGAGCCTATAGAAACTCAGTGCTTATCTTATGCATCAGTGTCACTATCTTGAAACACCGATTTCGGTCGCTTGGACATAGCCTATGTCGTTCCAGCGAATTCTACATCGTCCGTCATTTGCCGACGATGGAACCGGTAGGAAAGGTTGGAGAGGTAGTCAGTGCACAACATGGTATTAGAGAAAGCTGTACAGGACTGGCGTCCATTGGACATTCACGACTCCATGGTTGGGGCCCTAGAGATGGTGCAACACAGTGGCTTGAAATGTTATCAGAAATGGCCTGGAAGAAAAGCCAGTGACGATACTGAAGCGAATTCTTTCTAGTTGTATCTTTCCTACCCAAACTGCTTCTTCCATTATTATTATTATTATTATTATTATTATTATTATTATTATTATTATTATTAGTAGTAGTAGTAGTAGTAGTAGTAGTAGTAGTAGTAGTAGTAGTAGTAGTAGTATCACCCTCGTACACTAATTTCTGTTCATTGTTCTTTTTCGTTACACTCACCTTCCATACTCTATCCTTTCACAACAACATTTTTGTTGTATGGCACATGTATATTTGGTGTGTTTTTGTACTAATATTTATGTTTTTAAATAAGTAGACAATAAATAAGCTCAAAAAATACGTCATCAAAATTTCTACAAATTTTTCAGAGGGAACAAAAAACCATTATACAACAACTTACTGTCATCATCATTCTGATTCACAGTATTGACATTTAGAAGACCAATTAAGCCTTCCAAGTAAGCTGTAGCATTGATTTGTTTATAACGATAACGACGTGATAAATCAGCAAATCGAATAAAAGCTGTCTTGCCACTTTTATCAAATAAATCATTTTCCACTGTTTGAATTAATTCACGATTACGTGTTTCCATATCCGGTGGAGCTACATATTGAGACTTGAATGAAAATAACAATTATATATATAAATAAAGATTGATAGTGACAAATAAATAATACAATGAGTAAATGAATTATGGGAAGACAGTTGATGATGATACTATCATAATGAAGCGGTGGCTCGGTTGTTAAGAAGTGATGTCATCAGTCGTTAGGTAACGAATTCGAGTTACACATCCAACCTATTTCATCGTTGAAAACCAAATCGTATATTACTAGCTCATACATACAGAATGTAACACAAAGCCGAGTGTGTTAATCTGTACCTGGTAAATGAATTGCATGAATAAACACTATAACAGTAAAGTTTGTTGTGTCCGATAGGACAATAAAAATGAAAAACAAGTTGTTTAATCATACATGGATGTGAAAAAAAAACAATTCAATTTGATAAGATATGAGGACAAAAAACCAGTACTGCTTTCGTTTAAACTCGAAATCGTAAGACACTTCAATGAATAAGGCAGTATATAACGGTACGATAAGTTGTAAACAAAAGATTCGATTATCGTGGGAGCCGTTTTCGCTTGAACGTTCTAAGAATAGGATAGCAGCGTCGCTGAAGATTTTGGTTGCTTGAAAGCAACAGTGATTCTTGGAGCATTCCCATTTCGCTAACATCAAGACCACACTTCCATAAAGCTATTATTGTACCAACATTTCTAAAAGGATAATACATAACATTTGCGTTATTAGCATATAACTCAAAATGAAACGTGACTACTTTATTTCCCTAACCAAGGGGAACCTTATTTAACAACCCAGCATTTGAGAACACAGCGGTAGTAACCGAGTCCTTTCCTTATGATGAAAGATCAAACAATGCATCGAACTATAGATGACTGATCACAAAGTAATGACCAATCTCACGTTGGTTCGGCCATTCAGTGTTATCCGAGTTCAAACGATCAAGCTGTAATATGATCGCTAGGCTGTGACTCTATATTGAGCAACCTGCATTTAAATGTTAGGCAGTGTAGTGGTAGCATCTCAGACTATGCAGCTGATCCAAGCAAGTTCGAGTCCGAAAGAGACCGTCAGTTTCCAGAAGATTGTAGGTACCTCTTGCTGATGAGTGTCAACTAGCGTGAAGCCTAAGCTTAGGGTTTTATGACGACTACCTTTCAGTATACGGAAAAGAAAGCAGTTATCCAGTTCTACTAAATAACGACTTTTCAGAAGACCATATTGGTATGGCTTAGCATCTGACAAATACGGAATATCGATTTCGTTGCCAATGTAGTGACAAAAATTACTGAGTCAAGTGAAGTGGGACTTATACCTATGAGTTGTCATTTAATAGGTTCATGATAAGCTTTAATGACTTATTTACTCGTTTATTGGTTATAAACTTGTAAACAATACAACTCAGCTGCCCAAACCGAAGTAGATAGAGGGGGTGGAGCTCGAAACTGAAACCTAGTGACTGAAACCCGAACGCATTAAACCTGCTAAAATTAAGCGTGCTTCAAATATCACTGGTACTCTTTAACCGTGGCTTTCAACTTGACGTAGCGGTTGAGCTTACCCATAGTGACCGCCGAGCAGGACTGTTGGAGAACGATGAGATCAAACGTAGAGACTTAACCCCTGAGAGAAAAGTTGTATCACTGATTCAATAGGGAGGTGACAACAGTAAGGTTTTTAGCTCAGACAACATTTGCAGAGATGCTGCCTTATCATAAAAGAAGTTAGAAAAGGTCGATTCTAAAAATGTCACTTTACCTCATCCATTTCGGTCTTCGGTAGGAAGTTATTTTAACGCAAAAAGCTAACACATCAAAAGATTGTCACAAAACGGCCATGTTTGACAGGGCTCAAACAACAGTTTCTGGTACTCTAAGGTCATCGCCTCCCCTGGGTCAGTAAAGTCACCACTAACCCAGTTTTCCTTATAAACACCTCTCAAAAGAAATATTCATCAGAGATGTGAGCAACCTAGAAGCGACCTCATACAGTTAACAGCATGCGAGATCAACCTATTTCTACTATTCCATGAAAAAGCTGTTTTTAGAGATACTGGTAAAACTACATCCAATAAAAAAAGATGAATGTGGCAACATGTATGTCTATTCAGTACACACACATAACAATAGTTAACAGTAAACTTAATAAATAAATAAATAAATTTCAGCATACTTTAGCATATAATAAGCATTCAATATCCATGTTATCATTAAATTGAATAGATTTAATAAGTTTGATTAATGAATTAATTTCAGGTTTTAAAGTGTTATTCACAACACTACTGGTTGTATGAGAAGAGTGTTGTTGTTCAGATTGATGAACAATAGTATCAATGATTTTCTTTTTTGTTTGTCGATTTTGTAATTTTTTCTGTATTGTATCATTGGAATTAGTTTTATTTTCAGATAGACATGGAAAATCATTTGTAAGTGATAATGGTTCATGTTTAATTAGATTTGTTTGACTAGATGATTGTTGATTAATATTAAGAACATCTACTGTTCGGATATGACTGAACTGAGGTTTTTCCAATGGTGACTGATCATCAGCATACTGAAATGAGGGAGAGAAAGGAGGGGAAACGATATCTTGACATGAAATAACTTTAGTTAATCCATGAGAATGTTTGGTAAACATGAGGAATAAGCGTGAGTCTTATAAATTTTTAATATGATCTTGACTAATACTAGGACTAAAATTCAGAGTTTCCAAGGTCCTAATCTGAAATCCTGGTCACAACTCTAACTCTGAATAATTTAATGACGCTTTCGGCATTAAAATTATTCATTTACATTCGATAGACAACAATGTTTAATGTGTATCATGACTCTGAAAAGCCTCAATTATTTCTGCCCTGTTAAATATGGTTAAAATTTTAATTCCTTGAACACATCGTAAATAATGAAGACATATTTCAGCAACATCTGACACAATTTACAGCATTAAGAACACAATAATGATTTGATGTTCTACAAATTGTGCATACTTTTCCGTGAAAAGAATGAAAATGATTGATAGTGGTACCGTTTAAGATGACCGTTACTACTTCAAAATCACGGTAATTCATTACTATTTTTTCTTAATGAATATATTAACTTCTGTTAGAAATTACTGATCATGTCAGCTTGGTAATTACGACTATAATAAGGCTAACGTAAGAGCTTTGATTCTCTTTTTCATGAGGACAAACAATAACCATAATAAATGAAATATAATGTTATATTTAGATATGACTTCCGCATAATATTGAGTAATTGTCTACAGTAGTAATGGTCAAACTAAAATAAACACTTAGAAAAGGTTCGAATTATCCTGATTAGACGACCTTGGTTGTGGCTATTTTGTAACAGATATTTAGAATACATAGCTTGTGGCTAACAGTGGAATCTGAAATGAGACTTCGTCTCACTTGGGACTCATAAACTGCAAGCATCTGTATTTTAGTATTAATATTCACAAGTTTAAGTGAAAACTACTGAGTACGAATGTTGGTGTAGACATCAATACTACGTTGTGGGAACATTCAGTCGACAAGCCCCAAATAGGACAAAATGAGTCAGCTCAGACCAAACGCTTCTTTACATATCGATAGCTTTTCAAACATATTTTTGAATCCTTTCATTTGACTGAGTTTGTATCCTTCGATTATAAATGTGCTACGTGTAAAGGTGTTGTTAAACTCCGGATACATATGGCATCTTTACATACAACACTTAGACCTACCTCACTGACAGCCATAAACCCAACAATTCTGGAATACATACTTGTTTATTAACTAACCTTCTCGCTATCATCCCTTAAAGTCATACCACCATGCTCATCCAAATCATTGTTTATTGTTCTTGAGTTGTTTCTGGGTTTTGATTTCTTCGTATTTTTTAATCCGGTTGTGGCTGTTAATGGTTCAGTTTTCTTCTTTATTGCATCAGCCGCTGGTGTTTTAAACACCTTGGATTTACTTTCTAAAACTGACTTTGAAGTTAAATTGATGGTGCGATTTGAATGACTAGGATTGGAATTTGTTGAAAGGGACGGAAAATCGGAAGATGTAGGCGTCTGCAGAGAAACTGATTGAGGAAATGTGGATTTAAGTTGTTCTTCCGAAGATGTATTACGGCTTGTTTTCGGCCATCCTGACGAAGGACTACTACTACTAGCTACCACAGAAGACATGTTAACAAAGAAATTAAATTTGGTCGACTGTATACAGAAAAGATTTTCTAGAATTTATACTTAAGCATTAACAGACAAACGAATTTTAGGAAAAACCCAAACGATTTGATCCATTTCTTTAATAAAAATAACACAAACTATGTAAATTTAAACATTTATTGTTAAAGGGTGTGGATTCAACGTTCTACATCACGAAATAGCCAGTTAGATATGCACCGGAAATCGAGAAGCAACAGGTGTTTGGTCCCAATACAAAACTCAGCAGTGCGCACCCAAACATTATGGGGATTGAAACCAGGATCCTGACGGTTCGTGAACTACTGAGTTGCCATCCGAATGTTTACATTTTTAATTTTAACTAAGTTGTGTGATACAAATAAAGATGTCAACAGATTTTGGTTACTCAATAACTCGGAGGTTCTGAGGTACGATTCCTCGTAAGGTCGTAGGTGCACACCGCTGAGTTCTAGTGTTTTATGATTTTCAATAAGTAATTGCGTTCTGAATTCTAACAACAATAATGGATATATCTGACTTATTATGGATGATTTTGAGTTATTTAGTTTTCTGTTACTTATTTATTATGAAACTTTATAAGGAAGTGTACAGCTGTCCAAAATGGTTCGAAGTCACTATCAGTAAACTTATTAATTGAGGCTAAGTTCATTAATAAAACGTTTTAAAACACATGGTAACTACATAATTATAAAGATTTTCATCTCATTAGTTCTTACACATTACAACTGAAACTGAATAACCGATGATCTAACTTTTCGTTATCAAACACGGTTAGCCATATTGTCTTGTTAACCCTCAACGACGATTTCACACAGATGCAAATAAGAAAACAATCCAATCACATGTTGTACTCTTCACCTTCAGTATACAACAGGAATACGCTATTTACGAATCAAGATAGGAAGATTAGCTGTTTTCATTATCTATTATTAACGCTATTAGCTACAAATTCTTACGCTTGACTGTGAGTCAAATCCCAAATGTGAGGGTTAGTGATAATATCAAGTTGTTTAAACCAAAGTCGATGAAGTGAGATTCAAACGTGTGACTTAGTGACTGAAAGTTGAACGCTGAAAGCACTGGATTTTTTAACAGATATGAAAACGTTAGCTTGACAGCTTCTCCACCATTATGAGTCAATACAGAAGTTAATTCCAAGGAATCCAACACTATCACAAAACAGGGGTAAAGCGGTGCTCTGGTGTTTAGGATGTTTGGGTTTCAACCACTAAGCTGAGCACCACCTATTTTGGGCAACTAGGTAGTATATCATTAGCCCTCACACTTAAAGTGTGATTTATACTCAGGTACCTGATTAGTGAATTAACTTAATACCACATCATAAATCAAAACACGTTTCAGTCAAATGATTAATTAATCAATGCAATCAATGTGTACATGAAACATACCAGAAGCATGATTATTTGATCCAAGAGTTGGGAAGCTAAAATGATTGGATGTATCAGTCTGAGGATTTTGTATGAGTTGGGAAGCATTACCTCTAACCCACGTGGGAGGATTGCCTAATAATTGAGAAAAAATGAAAGAAAAGGATGAAAATAACTACGAAAAAACTCGCCATATATATATATATAAAGGAACACTGAAAATAACAATTCAAGCGCATTCGGAAAACTTACACAACTGATTAAAAAGAATAAAACTTATTCAAAAATTATAAGTCAGTCAGCTACAACGTAGGATCAAGCACATATATGCATCGGTTCAGGTTGCCACACTTCATTAGTACAATAAGATGAACACCAAATTCATAATAGTTAATTTAATGGTGGTAATATATAAAAGCATATAAGGATATAATACAGGAAGAAAGAATTAGTTTGTAGAAAGAAATATATAAAGCAATTTTAATCTTACCGTTTAGAGGAAGACAGAGTGTGTAAACACATACGCCATTGTGATCGATTATGAGCCACGTCACTCAGTCTTCAACCATTGGTTATAAGTTTATCCACCTTGCTTTTAGTCAGACATTTTTAATATATAATGTTTATTAAAATTACTTCATAGTTAAATTGAAGTATATAGTGAGTTCGAATGTAATAACTCATTGGTTGAAACCCAAAATGATCACTTAATATACATGTATCAACTAGATAAGAAGGTTGATAAATTATTCGATTGTTTTCGGAAATGTCTGTCTTACTTATGTATGAAGAAGGTGAACATAAAAAGTAATTAAGTTGTCTAGTCAATCCAATAACTCAATATACGACAATGATTTTGTAAAATGAGCAAATAAAACAACTTTTTTAAATAAGATTTACACAAAAAAAATTAATTAACAGACATCTTACCAGTAGAAGGATTTGTGGATTGTGTTAAACTAGGAAAATCTTCAGATGTAAGACGATCTTTATTAGTAAAATTGACATTAGCAACACGAGAAACCCAACTTCCACCCATTATTGGTCGTTTATTTTGTACGGAATTATTTGTGTCGTTTATCTCGCTTTCTGTCAAAGTAGTGGTTGACTCCATAAGTCTTTGTATGGGTGTTTGAGGACTCCTAGACTCATTCGTTGCTAAGTGAGAACTTGTGGTCATTGGTCTGGTCGACTGAAGTGAAGGGAAATCTTCACCGGTCCATTCGGAGGGATTAGGTCGTCGGTATGTTACACTAGGATTGTCTTGTGAAGTAAGTCTACCATCAGATGCATCTACAATTTCAAACACAAAGCCGAAATAATTGATTTTGATAAACGACCGTAGAGCAAGCAAGTGAACTAGCAGCTCACGTATTATAGAAAACGCCTGAAGCTCTTCTAGGATTACTGACGGTCCCAAGCCCGAGTAAAAGTGGAGGGTTGGGCACGCGGTCAGCAACTCCATCCCGTAGAACAAAGCTTGTTAAAAAGCGCTAACGACAAAAAAATAAACCATTTTAACTCTGTCCGGAGAGTTGAAAGTTCTTCATTCAGAAGAATTATGACGCCTCATGGTGAAAACCGAGGTCCTCCGGAAATCACGAGGTCAATGCCTCTTCTAATCACCAGAGCAACAATTAATATAGGTACATGGAGTGTTCGGACAGTGTGGGAGACCGTGAAAACCAATCAAATAGCTAAGGAAATGAGGAGATACAAATTGGCAGTACTCGGAACCAGTGAAACTCACTGGACAGAAAGTCAGTCAGTCAGTCAGTAACAACGTAGAACTTCGTACGTACGTACATCAGTTCGAGTTGCCACACCACCTTAGCACAGAGATGCAGTTGTCGATTCAAAACACGTAGTTGTAGAGGTGGCAAGAGTATAAGCAGTAATCGGGAAGATTAGGGTTTGGAGATGTTATTTAAAGAGTATAATACAGTGAAATAAATTTGGAAAGAGGAAAAAGGGACATGAAGAATTCAGAAGATTAGAATTTGGGAGAACACAGAGAGTGAATGCACCTGCGCCATTGCAAACGATTTTGAGCCATATCATTCAGGGTCTCTAACCATCGGTTGCTGTCATCTCGCGGTTCCCAACCAGGTAGTCTACACCTACCAACATGACTCAGTTCACTTGTCAGTGACTTCATGGACTTGTGCCATGTTTTGGTTTGGCCGCCCCTAGCTTTCTTCCAACCTACTCCTATACCACTGAACATAGCACGTCGAGGCAGTCGGTCGCTGGGCATACGTAACACGTGTCCCAGCCATCTCAACTGATGAAGTTTCACTACTTCATCAATTGATTTGCCATCCTTACCTAGTACCCGTTTCCTAACAACTGTGTTACTTACTCGATGGTCCCATGATATATGAGCAATGTTTCGAAGACACCTATGATCAAATACTAGTAACCTACGGATATCCTCTACTCTTACCGGCCATGTTTCACTGCCATAAAGTAGGACGGAACGAACTGCTGCGCAGTAAACACGTCCTTTGGTTGATAGATGGATATCTCGCCTACGCCATAAATGACGCAAGTTGGCAAAAGCTAGTCGAGCCTTCTGTATCCGTGCTGATATTTCGTCACACACTAAACCACAAGGGCTGATGAGACTTCCAAGATAAGTGAAGCGGTCGACACACACAACTACTTCACTCCCTATCACTAGTTCGGGTGTCGATGTAACCCAATCCTGAAGCAACATTTTGCATTTCGAGGGAGAGAATCGCATCCCGAACATGCTTGCATTGTTGCTTAGAGTGGTCAGAAGACTCTGCATTTTGTCAGCGTCTTCATCAAATAAAACTGTCATCAGCATATTCTAAGTCAACAAGTGAACCTCCTGGTAGAAGTTCAACCCCTGTATATTTAGATGAGGAGAGTGTTATCTCTAAAAGTACGTCAATGACAAAGTTGAACAAGAATGGGGAGAGTGGACAGCCCTGACGAACACCCCTTGAGGTAATCAATTCTGATGACAGTTCGCCATAAGCTCTCACTCTACCAGTTGTGTTCGAGTAGAGAGCCTTTATAAGGTTAATGTACTTCTTTGGTACTCCTTTCAGTGACAAACACTGCCATAGAACCTCACGATCAATAGAGTCGAATGCCGCCTTAAGGTCGAGAAATACTACGATTGTGGGGCGTCTGAATGTGTGTCTGTGTTCTAGAACCTGACGTAGTGTGAATATCTGATCTATACAACCACATCCAGGTCGAAAACCAGCCTGGTTTTCTCTAGTCTGCTCTTCACGAGCTTTGATTAGGCGTCGAAGTATTATTGAAGCTAATATTTTAGACATTATATTAGTCAAACTGATTCCTCTGTGATTGTCACAAGAGGACTCTTGTCCTTTCTTATAGACTGGCACAATCAGTGATTGAGACCAGTCAGATGGGATTACGTCCAGTTCCCAAATTCTACCTAAGACCTCGGTTAATCTCATTGCTAATACTGGACCACCATCCTTAAAAATCTCAGGAGTAAACCTGTCAGGGCCTGCTGCTCTCCCTCGCTTCAGATTTCCTATGGCTTTTTCAACTTCGTAAAGGGACGGAGGACTTACATTAACTTGCCATTCAGGTTGACTGGAGATCGTGGGAAACCGAAGTGTGGCTGAAGGCCAGTTGAACTGATCCCTAAAGTGTTCTGAGATCCAGTGTTGCTCCCTAACCTTCTGGTTTACCTTACTAGCAGATATCACTGCTGTTTCCACAGCTTTTCGGATATCATTCCATGCTGCATCGGGGTGGGCATCACATACATGGCTGCCTAACTGTTTTCCTAGTTGTTCCTGAAATATACTCTTAGCTTGACTATCATTAAGTAGGGCCCTAAGAGGTTTCCTTGAAGGATGTTTCCTACGTCCAGTAAGATGCAAGCAAATACGCGCTCGCACTAGAGCATGATCTGAATCTAAGCATGTGCTCCAGAATGAGCGACAGTCTTCTATCGAGCCCCTCCATCGGTGGCTGATAGCGATGTGATCTATTTGGGTCCAACGTTGGGACAAATTAGGGGGTCGCCATGTTAAAAGATGTTTTTCCTTATGCTTAAAGTTAGCATTTGCAAGGAACAGGCGGTTATCTGTGCATAGCTGCAACAGACGGTCGCCATTATCTGTTCTTTGAGCCACGACACCATAGGATCCACCTAGGTGTCTTTCCTTATCGCTTAGTTTACCTACTTGAGCATTAAAGTCACCGGTCCGAAAGCTTTCTGTAAAACTCATCTTTTACATCATCTGAGCTGCAGTCAGTGGAAGAATAGGCAGAGACGACGAAGAGGCAACGACGAGTGTCCCTATCTTTCCGGATTCTTACTGTTCCGTTCAGTCGGACAGCGCACAAACGACTGTTTACTGGGATCCACTCTAAGAGAGCTAGTTCTGCCCTAGGACTCAATGCTATGTCTACGCCGGCGAGGCCACGGGAAGCAGAATCAGGGCTTCCAGATACACGAAGCGTAAATCGAGTCGGTTCTTTATTTTGGCACGGTGAGGTCAAATAGATGACGCTACTCGGATCCTGTATGCGCGTTTCGGAGACGCAGCACACATCGATGGCGCGAGATTCTAAAGTTTTAGCTAAGGAAGCCTGCTGTCCTATTTGGCAAAGTGTTCGTACGTTAAAAGCTCCTACGTGTAGTTTAGAGCGTGGTTTCAGGAGACCAGGAATGGCGTTCCACGTACTCGAATCGTTTGCCCTAGCGGTGCGAGGTGATAAAGAGACGTGAGGAGGGTTAGTCGGGAGGATAAGAGAGGTATTAGGAGGTGTAGGAAGGATTTGAATGTGACCACCTTGGTCTCTTGTGCTGTTACGGGTATGAGGGCTGATGTCACTTCCCGGCTGCCCACACCGTGGAAGGGTATTTCTTGAGGAACCTGAAAAGGAAATTGGATTAGTGTTGGTCTTGACGACCTGGGAGCGTGACCGCAGAGCCCAAGGGATAACTGCTTGAGGCCGGTCGCGCACGGCCTTTTTGTGGAAGGTTTTTGACGTGTTAGCTCCGTTCTTCAAGGGGCCTTACAGCCGGAGACGGAAATCCGTGGGGTAAGGTGAGGTGTGCATTTTTAGGGTCGACCTTTTCTAACCCCACCTCTCCTTGTGGGAAGGCAGCATCGCTGTCATGCTGGTTGTCCGAGGGAAACACCTTACTGCTGTCACACCTCTCTACAGTCAGCAGTACGGCTTGCCCTCAGACCTTGAGTTGCTGCTTTTAGTCTTACCGTTCGCCAATCGACCTGCCTGGCATGGTAGAACCTGCAGGAACATATGTTCCAGCCAATATAGCTCGGTTGGGTCATCACGATAGGCAAGCCCGACCACCGCGTCAAGGTGACCGGAGTACGGCAACATCTATCCTGAATCTCTCCTTTTCTGTTTTTTCTGACTGGACAGAAAAGGAGAGATTCAGGATAGATGTTGCCGTACTCCGGTCACGAAGAGAGAAATTCTCCATACACTCAGGGAGTTGTTCTAATGCTGTTCAAAGAAGCACGTAATACACTTATAGGATGGGAATCTCACAGATCCAAGACCATCAAAGCATTCTTCAAAATAAAGGAGGGAATCACAATGAATATTATCCCATGTTATGCACCCACCAATCATAGCAACGTTGACAATAAGGATCAGTTCTATGAGAGGCTGCAATCAATCATAGTCAGTCAGTAACAACGTAGAACTTCGTATGTACGTACATCAGTTCGAGTCGCCATACCACATTAGCACAGAGATGCAGTTGTCGATTAAAATACCGAAGTGGTAGAGGTAGTAAGAGTATAAAAAGTAATCGGAAACATTAGGGTTTGAAGATGTTATTCAAGGAGTATAATCCAGTGAAATAAATTTGGAAAGAGAAAAAAAGGACAAGGAGAATTCAAATTATTCCCCGCAAAGCAAATACTTTGGACCTGTTAAATAAAGCATTTTTGCAAGATATGTAGGACCCTGTGGATACACTCGATCTTTGTGGTGAACTGTTAAAAATAGTCGGAGACTTTGTACCTGGGTAGCTGCGTCAGTGCTGGAGGTTACACGATGGATGAGACCAAGTTAAATATAGTATAAGCCAGAGGGGCTTAAACCAGGGTTAGTTTGGATGAAAAATAATAAGTTTACAAAGCATTGGTAAGAGCATTTCTCTCTATGTTAATGAAACCTAGCCACGCCCAGTCAGTCAGTAACAACGTAGAACTTCGTACGTACGTACATCAGTTCGAGTTGCCACACCACCTTAGCACAGAGATGCAGTGGTCGATTCAAATCCCGTAGTGGTAGAGGTAGCAAAAGTATAGGCAGTAATCGGGAAGATTAGGGTTTGGAGATGTTATTTAAAGAGTATAATCCAGTGAAACAAATTTGGCAAGAGGAAAAAAGGGACATGAAGAATTCAGATTAGAATTTGGGAGAACACAGAGAGTGGATTCACCTGCGCCATTGCAAACGATTTTGAGCCATATCATTCAGGGTCTCTAACCATCGGTTGCTATCATCTCGTTGTTACCCCCACAAACTGAAGATGTTTTGAGACTATACTTGATTATCATTATGGTTTTGTTTTTAATTGAACTGTTTCCAATGCTACTGTTGCTTATCTGTTTACTCATAGATTGCATACACTCTTTTCTTTTTCAGTTTTATCAGTCTATTTGCGTTGTAATTTTTCGTAAGATAGTACACCAAAACTTATGTGGTAGAAATAAGTAACGAAAAATCAGTGTCTAAAACTATCTATATTACACGTTCACAGTATTTCGATGCTATAGATTCAGGTAGCTAAAAGGATATATTTAGTTGAAACTTTACACTTCACAAAAATTACTCAATCACAGGCTTAGACAGAAATAAGACATACCAACAACGCCATCCACACTATATACATCAGGAAATATTTGGTCACGTCTCCTGAAAGCAGAATCAGTAGATGTTACGTGTCGTATAGAAATCGGAAGCCAGGAGTTGGGATCATTGGCCACTTCATTTGGATGTTCTTGAAAACGATGCAAGCCTAAACGATCCTCGGTTGCAAAACATGAGATACGTTGTTGAGCTCGACACTCGGAACATAGATGATGAGATTCACCGTAATGGTCTAATAATTCACACTGCTGTCTAAAATGAGTAATACGAACGGACAAAAGTATCAACAATAAGTAGTAAATCTGTAAATAACCAGTGATATTTGGTGAATTACAAAGTATGACGCCCTAAACATGAAATAAAATTTCAAGACGAAATTAGCAGAGATGAAGCATAGAACAAAATAATAATAATGAGTGATTAGGATAATGCTAAGACTGAGAATACGAGAAATCCACATTTCGGTTTTCGAAAAATACTCATAATATAACTACTCTTCAAATACAGTGCCATATGCAACTATGGTTTGCGTGTGGGTGGGATCGATCAGTAGAAAATAAGTATACCAATGTAGGATGTCGCAAAAGGTTAACAGTTAGCAACACACAAGAAACAGTGGAAGTGCGGATTTCCGAAGCATTTAAAAACTAAGATTAAAAATACTTATCACTTAATAATTAAAAAACCGAGCTATAATAGATGTAGAACTAACTTATTAGAAGTCTGTAATTATTAATTACAATCAGCTCATAAAACTAAACCACGGAGCTCTTATTTTCTTTCGCCTAGGAAGTTTCCTTTAGATAGGTATGTGAAATACGTAGATGGAAAGATGAATCTGTAATACCAATAGCCAATGCAGTAGGACGATAGGAAACAAAAGCATTTTTAATGACGATAATTTACGGTTTGAGGCTCTTTGTCAGCAGAAATCGTCCATAGTGTGTGTGCAAATCTTAAACTCGGTAATTAATTTATCCCGCCTTTAATAAAACTAATGCCATCGTTACTACTCGAGGACTTGTCTTGACAATTCAACCTGGCTGTGCTAATCATCTGACAACCGATTGAAAACTTCATAGAAACAAAATGTAAAAACAAGGTGCTATGAGAGGAGTGGCGGGTCCTTTGTGAATGGAATAGTATAAATTTACATTGCCTTACCTGAAAACCACAAACTTTCCTGTAGTCATGCAGAGATCACATAAAAAGTGAAGATCACGAATATGGGTTATTAAGTCTTCCATTTCATAAAATCGTTCTTTACAGAAATCACACAAAGGATGGCCTTTCTTCTTGTTTTTATCCCATGAACGATGTTTTGTAAGGTCAGCTGGTTTCATAAGTATGAATTCACATGGCAAAAGCTAAACCGGTTAGTGAATTACGTATGAAAATACCCTGGCATATCGAATACAGAGATCACAATAAGAAAGCTGATGCTCCAAAGTAGTGTGTCTATTTAAGGCAGAGAGAGACTTTTTTTCTTCACCACAAATAGGGCAGACTGATTTAAGCATGTTTAGGTAGTGCTGTTCAATCTCCACATCAGGAAACATAAAATCAAACTTTGAGTCATGTCGAAGTAAGGACACGTCAATATTGTCGAAGGGAACGAAATTCCTCATTATCGCAACCTGTAAAATTAAAATTGATTGAAGTTATTATCACTTACTCTGTTAATATTCTGCCGACAAGTGGGACATTGTGAAAATTCGGGCTCATCAGCGCTTCCGAACTTTCGCAATTTCAGCACACACTTTGTACATGTAGGATGATTACATGATCCGTATGCAAAGTAGTCAATATCATCATGACAAATTGGACACAGTTTACCAACTGACTCAATAACCTCAGACATCATCCACGCAAATAATAGTATTTAACGTTCCGCCAAGACCTTGTCTGAGACCTTGAAGTACGGTGTCCAAAATCTTGTCTTCAGTCTTCAGTCTTCAGTAATAAGGATAGAAGGTCTATCGACCTATATTAATCCTTGTAGTTTGTAATACTGTGAAGGTCCAATCTCGTTTTGAATATATCAACGGAAGGTGCTGATATTAACGAAATTCCAGACGTAAACGATCTGATCACGGTTTCTGAACTTTCTCCGAATGTCCTCTCAAGTGATCGGCCCTGGATGGAAGTAAAAGATAGAACATGTTAATACTAATGTCATCCTTCAGTGTACGATGAGCCAATATTAGATCACCCCCGTACTCTGCGGTTTGATAACGGAAATAAGTTGAGGTGTCTCAGTCTGTCTCCATAAGATAGGTCAGATAGACCTTGTACCGTCTTAGTACCTAATCGTTGGACTCTTTCCAGCATCTCTGCTTCATACTTGAAACAAGGACTCGCTGCTTGAATTACATATTCTAAATGTGATGGCACATAAATCGGGTATAATAGTCAAACATTTCATCATCTAAATACTGGAAAGACCTACGAATAGACCATAATACCCCATAGCCTTTCGCAGCAGCATCCTTACAGTGACTAGTGGTTCTGAGATCACTGCTTAATATGACTCCTAAATCTTTATAGTTTCTTACTTTGGGTAGCACGAATCCAGATATTGTGTAGTGATACGATTCATCATAGTTATTTAATTGCATCACCACATTCTTATTAGGAATAACTTCTAGTGACCACCTGACCAACCATGCCACCAGTGAGCTAAGACCATTCTGTAATACTATCCTATCCGACATACTGTGTATGGAATTCCATCGCTTCTCTGAGTTCGCCTGTTTATATACGAGAATAACCATTTCGGACTATATCTAGAATCCTTAACCAAATGTTTTTCCTATGATAGTCTAGTCTTACAGGTATTTCTAATCTTACAATAACTGGATCTGTATTGTTCTAAGCCAGTAGAGATGAACATATTCCAGTGCTTCTTCCTTTTTTTAAGAAGTTTCCTGGCCGTTCTCGTTATCCATGGTGGACTGTTATTCGGTCTTCGCGGTACCAGGTATGGTATGAACGGGGACGTACCTAAACTAAACTTACCTTTAAATACAGACCATGCTTCTTCAACTGATAAGCTAGTATCTACAAACCAATCTGTCTTAGCAGCGCATTCCTGAATGGCTGATATGTTAGCTTTCCATACATTTGTGAGGGGTGTAACCTGATCGTATAACATGTCCCTAGTTCTAAACATGAATGACAAAACAGCGTGATCGCTGTTCATATGTGTCAAACGATTACTATGGAAAAAAAAGAGGCCATCACTTGATCGCATCTTACAAGACTAAACTGCTCTTGAAGAGCCGAAAGTGTGCTCACAGCCCATTATGAGCAGTAGCGCACATAATTCTAGGATACATGTTGAGACAGAGCTTAAGTAAGGTTTTTAAGGGGTGCTTGGGAGTTTTTAAGGTGCCATAAGTCATAACAAGGTCAATTCTGAGATGCATTCACTCTGCCTGGTGACGACTCAGTGATTTTTCGCTATCATGAGAAGGTTTCTATTTCCGTCTTCAGTATTCATAGATCACAATGGGTTACGTTCCAATGTATTTTTACCTTTTTAAAATTAGTGAGGGACCACTACGTTTTCACATTTGAAAAAATGTTGAATGAGACTCAAGGATTAGATAGAAATTTCTACTGGTTAGTTAGATAAAAACGTTGAACGTTGTCCATCTCTCCACCTCAGTCATCATATAGGTTTGCGGAGATAAGTGAAGCAAACCTAACTTGCAAATAGTTTTTGTCCTTGTAAGATCCAAACTATGGTTTGGACTGCCGGACAGCTGTCGGGATGAGTTAGATACACGCCCTCGTCCGATTGAAACCAAAACAAAGTAATTGGGTAAGATGACGGTTCTATAATTTATCATAAATTTAAGTGTACATTATTACCTAAACAAATACAACCACTCAGCTATCCAATCAATAATTGTTCAATTGATCAAATCTAAACTACAATAAATAAGAAAGTTGATAAAGGATGCAAGAAAATTACCAATCACCACAAATAAATGTTATTCTATCCTGTCTGGATAGATCACGTACAGATTCGTTCAAAAGGTAATAATTGGTCGCTCTATAACACAGAATGTTTTCGATTCTGGAATAGTGCTTCAATTCAGAACCAAAATGCACAATTCCAGTCAACACAGGTCAAGCAATCAAAAGCAGGAACAAACCAAAATGGCTGCCGCCCAGACTTAGTATAAAGTAAAACAACATAAGTGCAGTTCGGGAAGAAACATGGGGAATTGGTGAAGGTGTCGAAAACTTACAGAACTATTTATTTGGGGAACTTGTTTACCGCTACAATATCCTAACCGACTGCATTCCGGCCGCGAACTGCAGATCCGACACGACACAAACAAGAGCGAGATCACGATACGATGATACTGTCGCCAGAAAACCGAATGTTGTAACGAACAAACAAGATAAATTGCTCAATTCCTCATCCACATTCACTGCCGACATATCCAAAGGTTTGAAATTCAAACAACTGTTGTTACTAGAGTGTTTAGGCTCAGTTTCATTAATAAAAGTGAAGGCCATGACAAGGTGTGCCGGATACTCTAAAGCCAGATAAAACGGAGCTCTTAAATGATACAATTAAACTGAGCAATTCTTGATCTATAAAGAATTTGTTCGATAAAGTTGAGGATTTTTATGTACGGACATGTATTTTCAGGATGTATTTCATTGTGCTTTTCAATAAATGAGTGGAAGAGCATTTTCTAACTCCAACTCGTATATACTACTTATACCAGTGAAGGTCCGTTTTAGGTAAGTTCAATCTGACTAATTTAAGGGCCAGTCGTTCGAAAAGATTTTTAAAATTTTTACATCTTACCATCTCAACCACATTCATTTCATGTACGATTTTACATTTCGAACGTGGTGTTACTAGTCTTTCGGGTTCGTAATAGACAGGGACAAGATTTGTACTTCTCTATAAACCGAAACCCACTATTATAATCAAGTTAGAAAACCCAAGAGATAAAACGTGATCCATTTCTCAGTGATTTTATTGCATGAAGATCGAAAATGAACTGAAAATACGAAGACAACTTAATAAGAATTTGATGTCACTTTCCCCAGTTTAATGGGTAATCTCAGAAATTAACGCGTTTCGTTCCAAGATGGATTACATTTCGCAGTCCTAGTAGTGTAAATTTTGACATTATTAGCTCGGATTGCAGTGACATCAAAACCAACCATGTAAACTCAAGTCAGTGAAGGTGAACAGAATGTGGAATTACTTTTCGAACTACAGAGAAAAGCTGTATAGTTTAGAACGTGACGCTCGTTTACCAAAGGTAATCACAGCACTCGACTTTCCGCTCCCACCTAACGTCTTTTCAAAATCAGAATATTTTAAACACAAATCTTCAGGAAAATTTAACATTTAAACGCGACTAACAAACCAATTGTTCGACAGTTCAAAATCATGAAGTAAAATCCAGATTTGGCATTCTTTTCGATTCAGCATCCATCTGTAGTGCTCCCAGATCATTTCCATGTGTCGGAGTAATATAAAATTCTTTTCTTCGTCTGCAAGTTCATGAATGAGAAATATGGTTGTTGATATTGAACGTGTTAATTGTACGCCGGAATGGTTTGATGTGAAACTTAAATGTTTTGATTAGTCAATATTCAGTGCAACTTCCTTATTGCTGGTCAGTCTTGATAACCATCAGATATTTCTCTTATTTTGAGTTAAGACAGATTTGCTTTTTTAACGTAAAGAACGGGTTTTCAGTCTGCCATTTACATGATGCTAGTTTGTTCGAACAAGCACTTCAACTGTTTGGTTAGCTACCAGGGATTTTGATATCATTTTCTCAATCTAGAAATTCTATATATCCCGACATTTCTTAAACTAACAGATAGGAAATTTATGATTAAATACTAGGTTTTGGTTGTTAAATGGTTTCCTCAGCTTCATCACGGTCATGGACAATTAAAACCAGATAACCAGTTGACTACATAGCTCGGTTCATGCGGTTTCATTATTATAATATGAGCTTCACAAAACTGTTCTGCTCAACATATAATATTTTCCTGATAAGCTTGTAGTGTAACGTCGAGTCGCGGTTGACCATGATCACCACTACAGGAAGACTACGTGCCAGCTAACCATTAAGATCCTTCGTAAGCCAAATATCAGAAGGCAGTTGATGACTGTCGTCGAGATGTATTTGTTGGCGATCTCGTGGTATCGAAAGAATACCGAGATCGCGCCAGGTTACAGTTGTGGTTACTGAGCCTAGCCGAACTCGTGCAAGGTCACAAGCAACGGAAGAATGTATGTGTTTTGGTACAGTTAAACAAACAAGTATGGTAAAACAATCCCTGGTACAATTGGTTATAATAATAATTGTTTCCATTACACCAATCATGTTCTCTTGATAAAAGTCGGTCACTACAAGCTCTTTTCTGTTTTCCAAGTGTAACAAAGGAACGGGATAGCTCAGTAAATAAGCCATTGTTAGTTCGTTAAGGCAATCATTAGATGGTATGACTTTGACGTAGGATTATGTAGATTAAGAAGTCATATAATAGCTGATCATTTACATTAGTAAAACTGATATGCTCAACAAACCAAAGAACTAAGTTATTCGGGTACTATCAGAATAAATTTTAAATTAAACCTTCGAAATATTGAAAGTATTGTTATTTTTTTAAACTAAATATCAGATAATTTATCATTTTAGAGATTCATTTATGTCAACAAGAAGCGAATCATCCATCAGATTTTAATTGAATCCTACTACTAAACAAAAAGTGATATAACTTATGTGTATGTATATGAATATGAATAATCAAGTAATAATAATAATAAGTAGATTTGTAAAGATTGTAAAGAATTTGACAAGTTATATA